AAAAAAAATTGTCAATGAAGAGATAGTGGCAAGTGTAAGGTGGCCTACTGTAATTTGTCCCAAGTCAGGGCTGCTATTGTAGCACAATCAAGCTGATTCAGGTTTTGATACTTGCAGATATAAAACCCTTGAAACTATATTTTATTTGATGTTTGGAGTTCTTCCTTCGATACCTCTAATTTTTCAGGCGGTAAGTTAACCTTCACTTTGCATTATCATAAGGGGGGGACTTCCCTATAAAGCATGGTATAAAGTATGCTCGAGGAAAGGATTGAAAAATGACCCTAAAAGGTACGCATAAATTAAGTCAGGTATCGATTCCAGACCCTAAAAGGTACGAGCATTTTTGACGTCTTTAACAAGAGAAAAGCTCAAGTTTAACAAACTGTAGAAAATTAATGTCGATAGATTGTTGAGGTTAATAAATTCTATTTCTTTATTAAAACTTCTTCAATTTTTTTCCCGTTGTTCGAAAAATGACCCCAAAAGGTACGGAGTCAGCTCAGGACCCTAAAAGGTGCGCGAGGGTTATATTTTCGACCCTAAAAGCATACCTACCATGCTTTATAGGGAAGTCCCCCCCCCCCCCTTCCCCGGGTTTTTTTCATGTTATGACCAGAGGTTAAATCACGACTCACGGCCCTCATTTTCCCTATCCTTTTATATTTTCTACAGTTTTTTTTGGTGTTTTCTATTCTGCGCAGTTTCAGTTTTGCATTGTTTTCTTTTCTCTGCGTGCGGCCGAAACAAAATTGTATTTCGTTTTCCTGTTTTATTGCGCATTTTTTCTCATGCTTTCATTCATCCAACAGCCAAATCATTTTTTATTCATTGAGTCTTGCATGCGCTGAATTCAATGCAAATTCATCCAACCTTGTACGTCATCTCCTAATATCATTGTCATCGACTTTGGCACTGCATGTGAAAACCAGCTTAACACACGCAACTCTTTTATTTCAGGCCGATACCGCCGGACTTATTGAAGTAGCTTTAGGAGGCGCATTCTACATTAGCGGCATATTCTTCTTCAAATCTGACGGGAAAATATCCTTTGCGCATGCGATATGGCATATGTTTTGCGCTTCTGGTGCTTGCTTACACTTCTATGCTGTTTATACTCACTTGTACTAGAGTTGGGATCTCTGTGGTACCTCTACAATTCCCGGGGTGTGGCTTGGTTTGGCTTCCTTGCCAGCAGGGTTCGCACAGTCTTGAAAAGTCCTTGATTTTTGAGCTAGGTCCTTGAAAAGTCCTTGACTGCAAATTTTCCTTGAAAAGTCCTTGAATTTGGAGGAAAGGTCC